GGAGGCTACTGTTTCTATGTATATGCTAGGCCGCGGGTCTGGGAGGCAGAGATTTGTGGCTGTCTTTAATTATGTTGTATCTATCTTGGTGCATCCAGATCACACTCAGGAGGGGGAAACTCTGCACATACAAAGTCAGTGAATCTGAATTGTAATTCGCTTCATTTAAGGCCCCTATTATGACCACATTATACAGACTGAGGAGAATCGAAGAGCTTAGAGAGGGCAAGCAGCTTGCTCAAAATCACATAAGCCTGAGGCCCAGCTGTGGTGACTCATGGCCTATAATCTCAGCACTTTGGAGAGGGCTGAGGGGGCGGATTGCTGAACCTAGGAGTTCAAGGCCCACAGCCTGGGCAACATAGCAAAACCCCATCTCTGCAAAAAATACAAAAATTATTTGGCCGGGCGTGGTGGCTCAAGCCTGTAATCCCAGCACTTCTGGAAGGCCTCTCTGTCCTGGAGGCTGGCAGGGGCCAAGGACTGATAGAGCCAAGAATAATGCCAAGAATAATGCCCCAGGGCCCCCAGCTAAGCGGGGGGAGTCCTGGATACCTAGAGCCGGAGCCATCCCACTGCTCCCCTCCCCCACCCCTGTGGCCCGCCAAGGATCCGGCTGTCAGTCATGGAGCTGGCAGGTCGTAACTCATACGACGCTGAAGTCTGAGGGATCCACGCAAGGACGACAAGCGATCCCATAAAAGACAGGCGATTTACCAGTTTAATTTGATGGCCGCATAAACTATGAAACACACAACAAGGGAATAAAAAGGCAGCCAGGCACCCAGGCAATTAAAGACTCCTCTGGTGAGGTGTGCCATCTTTCTCGCCACCCCTAGGCCCCGCCCTATTTTCCTGTAGCCAGAGGCCTCAGCCTCGGGCTGGCCTTGGGGGGCGGGGGGTGGCAGGGGAGCCTCTGGCCAAGATGGATGAGGCCCACAGACAGTGGAGCGGAAAGGCCTTGGGTCCCTGCCTCCCAAATGCTTCTTGGTTATCTATCAAGCATCTCTGAAAGGTGCAATTTAGACTCTATTATGATGCTGAGGCCTCTGGAGGCTGAGGACCGTGGCCATGAGCTGAGCGGGCACTGGGAACAGATGTCCGTGCCAGGGAATGCGGTGGTTTGCCTTGGCTTTTGCCTTACAAGTTTGCCCCCTACTTAGGGCACTGCTCAGGAACAGCCGAGTACAAAGGCCACCTGTATCCGTTGTGCCAGGAGTCATCAGCCAACAGACCAGGGAGGGGGGTAATCCTCCAGCCAGATGCTGGGGGGCCCCTGGCAGAGGTGCTCCTAGACTCAGACTTGACCCTGGAGACGGAGGCAGGGTGACCTGTGAGCAGGCCTGTGTCTTCCTGTCTCTAGCACCTGCCCTGTGCTACCTGCCTGCTCATAAGTGACTTGAGGCAGGACCTCCGGCTCCATAACCTTCATGGGCCTGGCTCGGTGCAGAAGGGACAGACGTGCAGTGGGAAATCTGGGCTGACTGTGACCTTGGCTGGGCCCCTCTTGTCTCTGAGTCTCAGGCTGCTGGGCTGTGAAATGAGGGCTGTGGACCTGTGTGTAGGTGGCAACCTCTGCACCCTTGCCTGTGAAGGGGAGTGGGTGAGGTCTGGCCAGAGGGGTCACCCCACCGCCTAGGCTTTTCATTATCCTCTGGAGGCTGATGTGTCTAGCTCTGCATGCTGTCCTGGCCTCCAAGCCCGTCCTCTCCCACGATCTGGGCCAGTGTCCTTCCCAGTTCCCGATGTAATGAAAGGTGAGGTGGTCAGATAAGGGCCAGGGCAACCTGGGATGGCCCTGGGCAAAGGAAGCAGGAGGCTCACGGGAGAGTGGGTACCTCCGTGAAGGTCTGAGAATGCTCAGCCTGGGCCGCAGGACTGTGTCTGGGCTGGCCAGGGACTCACAGCCCTCAGCAATCTGGAGTCAAGCACTGGGGTCCTGCAGCCACACAGCCCTGGGGTGGAATCCAGACCCCACCTCCTCCTGCCAGGGGATCATGGGCAGGTCTCTGTGCCCCCGTTCCCTCATCTACAGAACAAGTCCATCACAGTTTCTCCTTTGAAATCTTTAGTGAGCATCTGCCACGTGGGAAACACCATGAGTAAGATGCACGAATCCCTGCCCTTATAGCGAGTACCTTCTAGTGGGGAGACAGACAATGAAAACAAAAAAGGGCCAGGCGCGGTGGCTCACACCTGTAATCCCAGCACTTTGAGAGGCCCAGGGAGGTGGATCACGAGGTCAAGAGACCAAGACCATCCTGGCCAACATGGTGAGACCCCGTCTCTACTAAAAATACAAAAAAATTAGCTAGGCGTGGTGGTGGGCACCTGTAGTGCCAGCTACTCAGGAGGCTGAAGCAGGAAGATCACTTGAACCCGGGAGGCGGAGGTTGTAGTGACCCAAGATGGCTCCATGGCACTCACACCTGGTGACAGAGCGAGACTCCATCTCAAAACACAAAACAAGACAAAACAAAACAAAAAAGATAAAACATGTAGTGTGTTAGTTGGTGGTAAATACTATAGGTAAGCAAGGAACCGAGAGGAGTATCTGGGAGTTATAATTCTTGATAGGGTGCCCAGGAAAGGCCTCACCAGAAGGAGATGCAGGCATGGATCTGGGGATGAGCTGTCTGGGCAGACAGCACAGCATGTGCCAGGGCCCTGGGGATACCAGGGGTTGTCTGACTGCTGCAGTCAGTGAGAGGGGAATGGAGTGGACAAGGCCAATGGGGGTGCCACACAGGATTGCATAGGGCCTTGGCAGCCATCTTGATGACTGTGGTGGCTGTCTGGGCAGAGACCCTGTAAGTGCAAAGGGAGCTTTTGAGTGTGCAGGGGTGAGTAGCAGAGGCATTCACCATGGTGGGGCCCATTCTGTCGTCGGGTGGCCACTGATGTAAAGCCACACTTGGCCACAGTCCCTGCCCTTGCAGTTTGGTGACATGAAAACACCAGTCACCAAACAGTGTGACCTGCAACCCACAGAGTGCTCCAGCCTCAAGATTGCCAAGATTCTGGCCTCCTCCCCAGATGGCCTAGGTTCCTCCTACCTGGTTCTCAAGTAGTCTTGAGTAAGTTAACATCTCTGAGCTTCAGTTTTCTCATCTGCTCAGTGGGATTAAGGGCACTGACCTCATGTTTGCTGGGAGGGTTAAATGACTTAAATATTAGGAAAGTTCTCAGCAAAGTCTTTATTATAGTTTGAGCTACCATCCATCCCATCAGAAAGGAATCCCAAGTGGCTACAACAGGGCCTGGAATATAGTAGATTCTCAATAAAGCTCTGTTGGATGCATGATGGATGGATGGATGGATGGATGGATGGGTGGATGGATGGATGGATGGATGGATGGACAGGTGGGTGCATGGATGGATAGATGGACAGGTGGATGCATGGATGGATGGATGGACAGGTAGATGCATGGATGGATGGATGGACAGGTGCATGCCAGAATGGATGGATGGATGGATGGATGACAGGTGGATGCATGGATGGATGGATGGTTGGGTGGTTGGGTGGGTGGATGGATGGATGAATGATGGACAGATGGATGAATGGATGGTAGGTGGATGGGTGGGTGGACAGATGGATGGGCAGAACAGAGGGAAGCTTTATCTGGGGCCCCAGGAAAACCTAGTAGAGGAGGTAACATTTGAGCTGGGTCCTGCAAGAGTAACTTGCGTGATGGAAAGAAAAAGCAGCCAGGAATAGAGAAGGACAGAGAAGACAGAAAGTTTTGCCTGGTTGAGAAACAGGTGTTCAGTCCCTGGGGCATGGAAGTAAGGTCCTTGCTGGCTCAGTGGGCAGGTGCCGGCTCTGCTGTGTACACCAGGGCTGCCCTCCCAGGCTGGGGCTTCAGGCTCTGAGAGACCATCTTGTCCCATCATTGAAAAGCCTCCGTGAACCCAGCGTTTTACAGCAGACTTTTGCTGGCTGCATGAAGACACCTTCCTCACTGAGACTGAAAGATAATTTCTCTTTAATTGATTTTTTTACCACTATGAACAGTAAAATAATATGAGAAAAATCTATGCTGCAATTTTTCCATTTGTGAAAACTGAAATTACACCTTGCAGCCAATTCCCTCAGAGTACAAATGCCTCCCTCCTTTTATTTGTCTCATTCCTTTAAACTTTCAGCTATTCCAGGAAAAAAAAAACAAAAAACAAAAACGGTCTGTTTATGATTTGAGAAAGGGGCAAGGTGTGGGACAATTTCCCACACAACTCGAAACCCAGGGCCAGGGAGGCACCTCTGATGAAAAGAGATTTCTGTAAATACATGAGAAAGTGATTCTGTTGACACCTCATTCTTCTGTCTGTAGAATGTACGAGTGACAACAGGACATGTTGTTTTAACACCAGACAATGAAGCTCCCTGCTCTGCACTCCTCGCCAGTGATGGCACTGACAGCTTCGTTCTCGCAGGTTCTGGCAACGCCCCCCTTTTGAGCTCCTGGGCCTTCCAGAAACAAGCTTTCCTTTTGAACCCTGGGTCCGAGCCAGATAGCAATGCCTGCTCCTCGTGCGGTGCCAGGGAAACAGCGGCTGTGAATCCATAAAACACGCCCTAAATCCATCCCATCCATATTGACTGGTACCTTTAGCATTGGCCATAAAGACTGGCTTTGTGTGAAGTCTTGAGAGAAGAAGAAACCAAACCTGCCGCATGGCTCTCACTAAATTAACCTCCCCGAGGCTCTGGATCACATTTCAGGAGGGCTGTGGCAGCGTGCGTCTCATTAATGGGCAACCTCTTGGCTCCCGATACGATTTAACGTTAGCCAGATGTTGTTAGACTCCGACCTTGGCGGGAGCAATCACCTGTGGCATAAACCTGGCACAAAGGCCGCTCCTCCAGCTTGACCGTACCCCGCAGGACCTGACTTCAGCCACCCCTTGTGCAGGCTGGCAGGCGGGAGGGGTGCACGATTCGTTCCTGGGGTCACTGTCGCCTCCTCCCTCTCACTGACCCCGCCCTGTGCTCCTTGCAGGTATTCAGGCTCCAGGCCAGGTGGGGCTGGACACCCCCAGCCATCCACCATGGTGGTGGCACACCCCACCGCCACCACCACCACCACAACCACTGCCACTGTCACAGCCACCGTCGTGATGACCACGGCCACCATGGACCTGCGGGACTGGCTGTTCCTCTGCTACGGGCTCATCGCCTTCCTGACGGAGGTCATCGACAGCACCACCTGCCCCTCGGTGTGCCGCTGTGACAACGGCTTCATCTACTGCAACGACCGGGGACTCACCTCCATCCCCGCAGACATCCCTGATGACGCCACCACCCTCTACCTGCAGAACAACCAGATCAACAACGCCGGCATCCCCCAGGACCTCAAGACCAAGGTCAACGTGCAGGTCATCTACCTGTACGAGAATGACCTGGACGAGTTCCCCATCAACCTGCCCCGCTCCCTCCGGGAGCTGCACCTGCAGGACAACAACGTGCGCACCATCGCCAGGGACTCGCTGGCCCGCATCCCGCTGCTGGAGAAGCTGCACCTGGATGACAACTCTGTGTCCACCGTCAGCATTGAGGAGGACGCCTTCGCCGACAGCAAACAGCTCAAGCTGCTCTTCCTGAGCCGGAATCACCTGAGTAGCATCCCCTCGGGGCTGCCACACACGCTGGAGGAGCTGCGACTGGACGACAACCGCATCTCCACCATCCCGCTGCATGCCTTCAAGGGCCTCAACAGCCTGCGGCGCCTGGTGCTGGACGGTAACCTGCTGGCCAACCAGCGCATCGCGGATGATACCTTCAGCCGCCTACAGAACCTCACAGAGCTCTCGCTGGTGCGCAACTCGCTGGCCGCACCACCCCTCAACCTGCCCAGCGCCCACCTGCAGAAGCTCTACCTGCAGGACAACGCCATCAGCCACATCCCCTACAACACGCTGGCCAAGATGCGTGAGCTGGAGCGGCTGGACCTGTCCAACAACAACCTGACCACGCTGCCCCGTGGCCTGTTCGACGACCTGGGGAACCTGGCCCAGCTACTGCTTAGGAACAACCCCTGGTTCTGTGGCTGCAACCTCATGTGGCTGCGGGACTGGGTGAAGGCACGGGCGGCCGTGGTCAACGTGCGGGGCCTCATGTGCCAGGGCCCTGAGAAGGTCCGGGGCATGGCCATCAAGGACATCACTAGCGAGATGGACGAGTGTTTTGAGACGGGGTCGCAGGGTGGCGTGGCCAACGCGGCTGCCAAGACCACGGCCAGCAACCACGCCTCCGCCACCACACCCCAGGGTTCCCTGTTTACCCTCAAGGCCAAAAGGCCAGGGCTGCGCATCCCCGACTCCAACATTGACTACCCTATGGCGACGGGTGATGGTGCCAAGACCCTGGCCATCCACGTGAAGGCCCTGACAGCAGACTCCATCCGCATCACGTGGAAGGCCACGCTCCCCGCCTCCTCCTTCCGGCTCAGCTGGCTGCGCCTGGGCCACAGCCCGGCCGTGGGCTCCATCACAGAGACCTTGGTGCAGGGGGACAAGACAGAGTACCTGCTGACGGCCCTGGAGCCCAAGTCCACCTACATCATCTGCATGGTCACCATGGAGACCAGTAATGCCTATGTAGCTGACGAGACACCCGTGTGTGCCAAGGCAGAGACGGCTGACAGCTACGGCCCTACCACCACGCTCAACCAGGAGGAGAATGCCGGCCCCATGGCGGGCCTGCCCCTGGCGGGCATCATCGGTGGGGCCGTGGCTCTGGTCTTCCTTTCCCTGGTCCTGGGGGCCATCTGCTGGTACGTGCACCAAGCTGGCGAACTGCTGACCCGGGAGAGGGCCTACAACCGGGGCAGCAGGAAAAAGGATGACTATATGGAGTCGGGGACCAAGAAGGACAACTCCATCCTGGAAATCCGTGGGCCCGGCCTGCAGATGCTGCCCATCAACCCGTACCGCGCCAAAGAGGAGTACGTGGTCCACACCATCTTCCCCTCCAACGGCAGCAGCCTCTGCAAGGCCACGCACACCATTGGCTACGGCACCACGCGGGGCTACCGGGACGGTGGCATCCCCGACATAGACTACTCCTACACATGATGCCCGCCCACCTGGGCTGCCTCGCCCCAGCCCCAGCTGCCCTGGCGTGGCCACGTGGCTTTGCCCAGCCTGCTGCAACCTGAGAGAGCAAGGAAGAGAAATTCTACGGATGACTTTCCCCCGCAGAAAGCAAAGTTTGGGGAGGGCTGACGATTTTGTAGAACACAACCGTGACAATTTTTTTTTAAAGAATAGAAGGCAGGAGGGGGAATTCGACATTGTTGAAGACATAATTTATACCGAGTTATACCAGTTGGGGAGGGAAGGACTAAAAATAATATCACAGGAAGGGCTGGGTTGGGTTTTTTGTTGTTTTTTTTTTCTCCTGAACTGGAAGGATACTACCTGTACAACATCTGTGGACACCTCATGCTCTGTTCAGGGCTGTCACAAAGGAACCGCCAGGGAGAAGCAGCCGGCTCTCAAAGCTCCCACACAGCTCTCCCGCTGCTGGCCACTCGCTGGCAATGCGATGGAAGGTTTTCAGGCTCCTCACAAAGGAGAGAGGGAAGAAAAGATCTTTTGCCCTGGAGATACGGACCTGAAATCTCTCCCCTGGCTCATTCCATACCATTTCCCTTGCAGATTTGCAGAAACATGGCGTCTTTCACTGCATTCTTTGAACAATCATGTAGTTGATTAAAAAACAAACAAACTTGTTTTTCCCTAGGCTGAAGCCCTCTTCAGTTCCATGCACCACGCTCTCCTGTAGAAGCCCCCGCGGAAGCCGTAGCTTTCCCCGCCACCTGGAGGTGCATCTGTCTGCCTGTCTATCCCTGTCGCAGTGTCTCTAAGTACAGATGGGTAGACAGAGCCACATGCACGGTCCTTACCGTTCTCCTTGGGTCAGTTCTTACCATTTCCTGAGACAATAGAATTGCGAAAGTGTTGCTTTCTCCTAGAGATCATTGAGTAAGTAGACGGTGTGTTGGGGATGGGAGTGAGGTGGGGGAAGAGACTTGGTCTCTGGGGGCTACTGCTGTTCCTAAAGGCTGAGGCGTGTATGTCTCAGACGGGTGGCTTAGGGAGGCGTCGCAGCAGGGGCTTCTAGTTCCACCCTAGCTCAGCTTGACCAGCGCTGGGCTGCTGTCCTTTCTGATCTAGATAAAAGCTTTATTTGATTCCAGTGTCCTCATCTCCCTCCCCCACCACGTGCAATCACCTTAACAGCTACTTTTGGAGCATTTACCATGTGCTGAATGTTCCCTCCTAGGACGGGTAATTAGCGCAGGGATTTTTTTTTTTTTTTAAATATCAGCTGATTAGACCTATTGGTTTCCATGGCTGCTCAAACAAAGCCCAGAAAGAGACACAAAAATTCTCAAAAAAGCCCTGGGTGACGGCAGTCCCTCCCTGAACGTAGAAAACTCAGCTGGGCCCACCCCTGGGACTCTGTTTCTTGACAGGGAGAGGCCAGATCTCTTTCTAAAAATGCCAGCCTCCAAAAGGGCCCTGGCTGGGGCCCTCAGAAGAGTTAAGATTTTATTTCCTCTCTCTGGAATCCATGTCGCTATCATTCATTTATCAACTGACAGTGCAGTGTGGTGAGCCATGAGATTAAAACGATGATGAAATAATGACAGCGAATCGGAGAGGGGGGAAGAGTGGAGCCTGCGTCCCAGTACTGGGGGAGCCCGGGTCACCATCTGTCACTGTGCTGCTTGTTCTGCGCCGAGGAAAAGGAACGTCAAAGAGGAGATGCTGGTCCGAGGGCAGGAGGATGAGAGGGCTGGGAGCGCCTGGTGGTGCTCTTTTCAAACGGCCTCCGCCGCCGTGCGAAAGCAAAGGCAGAAGCAGCAGCGGGGCAGGGGTTCCGTTAAAAGGCCCGACCGGCGCCTTCAGTGAGGAGATGAGGCTGAAAGGAGCGGACACAACAGCCACGTGGAAAGTGGAAGGACGGGTGCAGGTTCCCAGCACGGCCCCGGGGGAGCTAGCCCACAGAACAGGTCCACTCCTCAGCCCTGGGGAACAGCCAAGCAGCGTGGGCACCTTTCACTTGAAACTAGACGTGTTTTTCCTTTTCCTGCCTGAATCATTTTCTCACACAATAAGGTCAAGAGAGAAACTTCCCCAGGCCTTAATGTCAGGTCTGTGTAAAAGCCCCAGGCCAGGCGCAGTGGCTCACGCTTGTAATCCCAGCACTTTGGGAGGCCAAGGCAATCTTCTGAGGTCAGGAGTTTGAGACCAGCCTGGCCAACATGGTGAAAGCCCGTCTCTCTAAAAATGCAAAAATTAGCCGGGCGTGGTGGCGGGCGCCTGTTACCCAGCTACTCGGGAGGCTGAGGCAGAAGAATCACTTGAACCAGGGAGGCAGAGGCTGCAGTGAGCCGAGATTGTGCCACTGCATTCTAGCCTGGGCAAAGAGTGAGACTCCATCTCAAAAAAAAAAAAAAAAGTAGGCCATCCCTGTGGACCACGGCCCCCCCTGCCCTGAGACGAGCAGAAGGGCCCACCTGGGTTGTCTGGGAGGAGAGAGTGCCCGAGGTGTGCCATGTTGGCATGGGGGACAGAAGTCCCAGGTCTCTGCTGATTCTAAAATGAGCCCCCCCTCCCTGAAGGGCACCACTCTGATCACTGCCTTCCCCCAAGTGCCACCCATCTGCAACACGGTGCTGCCAGCACACTGTCCCCCACCTCACCTAGGTCCCCTTGTCTCCTCTCCTTACCCTAGACAGGTCAGGTCATGCCCTTAGTGTTTAGGAAGGCATCTGGGGACAGTAGGTGGCCTGGACTGACAGCTGCCTGGGAAGGTCCCGCTTGGCTGGGGCAGGAGTGCGGGGGACTTAGTGCTAGAGAGCAGGCAGAGCTGGGAGCCAGCCTGTGCCCAGCCACGCCCTCCCAGACAAGGCCTAGGTGATGAGCCTTCCTCCCCCGCATTGCACAGAGTGGGCCCAGGCAGGCAGGATCCCTGGCAGCTGCCCCAGAGGAGCTCCTTGGGCCCCAGGACCACACGAGTCTCCTGCTCCTGGTTCTTACACTAACTGGGCGAGCGCGGGGCTCAACCCCTCTTACCAGACCCTGCCTGCCTCGTTGCAGGGATCACCCGCCCCCGGAGCTCTAAGTGCGGATGAAGGTGGAAGCTCCACCCAGTCAGGGCCCTGGGACCCAGCTCTAGAGCTGACTTTCTCATCTTTTCTGCCCCTCAGCAATCCTGACACCTTCCCAGGGTCCTTTCTGGGCTTTCCCAGAGCAAGCCCCCAAATATCTGCTGTATCACAGCCCCCTCAGCCAGGGAGGGGGCCAGAAGCTAGGTCCGTTCTGAAACCCCATCCCCTCTTGGCCCAGCTCTTCCCAGCTGGTCTCACACCACAAGATAGGAGATGTTTCAGGACACCCTGCCTTCCCCCGGGCCTGTCTAAATTCTCCCGGGCTCCCGTGCACAGCCGACATTTCCAAGGGAACGTCCTCGGCCGGGCTGACCCTCACAGCCTCTAAGTAACCAGAACAACCTCAGCGGCCTCAGCACTGATGAGTACGTTTTGTGGCATTTAAGGCAGGTTTAAAGTTAAAGATTAAAAAAAGCCCACGACACTTCTTTGGTTAAGTGGTTTACCCTTCGTGGTAATTAGATGTAGTGATTGGAATGTCTTTTCTATTACATGGCAATCTTCCTTTAAATTTCCCCTTAAAAGAAAAAAAAAAAAAGGAAAGGAAAGGAAAGAAAAGGCAAGGAAGGAGAGAGAGAAGGCACCAGCAGGCCGGGAATCATTTGCATTTTGCGAATGAGGCCTCTTGTAAGCTCAGCTCAGGCGTGGGGCCCAACGTATGGAATGCTTAAGAGATTACTAAAAATAAAATCTATTAATTAGTCATACTCAATTCCGCAGACATGATGTGCATCAAAAGCTGCTTTTCTTCCCTTTTCTCCTTCCCCCTCCCCACGGCCTCCCGCCACAGCCTCCATCTTTTTTAAATAGACTGGGGCTTGCTAGACCACCTCCATGCTAACATGGTACATGCGGCAGCCAGGGGTCTCCCTGACCCAGGGCCGGGATGCAGGTCTGGAGCCAAGAGCTGGGGCATTGCACCTTCCTGGCTCTGGGAGGGGACAGCACCTGGGAAGATGGCAGCAGCTGGGAGGGGCCCAAGCTGACTCTCCCAAAGCCCAAAGCCCACACCTGCCTTGTGCCTCTTCTCCCTCCCTCTAAGCAGGCACGGGGTCTCCTCCTTCCCCTGGGGGTCCAGGAAACCCTCCCTCTGAGCCCAGCTCAGCCCTGTCCGAACAAAGCCAGGCAGAGAGCCGAGGAGGCGGTCAGGGAGATATTTTCCAAGAGGTGCAGGGAAAGACGGTTCGGTGAGAATACGGCCTCTGTTTCCCTTTCAGTAAAGTGGGGGTGTGCTAGGGCGGGGTCCAACGTCACTCAGGAAACTGGTGCTCCAGAGGCTGAGTGGGGGCCCCTCCCCAGTGCTGGCGCTGAAAGGTCCTAGCTGGCCCAGGTCAGGTGAGGGATCCCTGAAGGGTGGGAGGGGCTGGTCAGGGCCTGAGCAGAGGACAGGCCGGGACCCAAGTCTGCCTCCAAACCTGTGCCTCCCTCCTTCACCTCCAGCCCTGGAGCCAAGGAGCCAGAGAGGAGGAGAAAGAGCAGACCCTCCCCCTTGAAAATGGCAGCTCAAGTCCCAAAGCCAGCCCACTTCAGAAACCTGCTTCCTGCTGAACGACGTGCCAGGGAGGAGGCAGGGACTTCTGAGCCTCGCACTTATGAAAAATACAACAAGGAGAATTGGATGTGGCAGAGAGTGAAGGGGCAGGGAGGGCAACGGGGAGAGCAGGGGCGGTGCTGGCAGGAGGGGCTGGGCGCAGGGACCTGTGCCCCCAAGGGCCAGACCCTGCTTTCAGGGCCAGGACACAGCCAGGGTCCGTGGCGAGCATCCGCGTGCCTCCTCCTACTCGATAGGCGCAGGTGACAGCGGCTGCTGCCTGCCCCTGGGTGGGCGCCAGGGCGAGCACTCACAAGCGATTCGCAGCCGTGCATCGGCCTTCCTGAGTGCAGAGAGGAGGCATGTTTTTTTCTTAAGGAGGGATAAAAAGGCTCAAAAATGCAAATCGTTACCGTTTACAACCAAGGGAGTCTGCTAAATTGATTAGGAGAGCTTAAACTCCTTGGAGGTGAAGGGAAAGGGGGATTTTTCGTGGTTTATGAACCTGCCCCAAGTGGCTATCTGCACAGCAGGGACTTCCTGGGCCTCGATGGGTGGCGGGGGCCGGGGGGGGAGGTGGGTGCGAGGTGGGGGGCACCTGCCCTGGCTTGGCTCTCTGGGGAGCCAAGGAAGGGTCTCTGAAGACCAACACCGAATGGGTCAGAGTACTCAGGCTTGAGGCTCCAGCACTGCCCTAGGGAAAGGGGCTCAGGCCTCTGCGGCAAGTGGCCCATCCAGTCCTTAGAGAGTAGACTCTAGAGTCATGGGCTTTTCTACTTCCTTTCTGTTCTGGGTGGGTCTGTCTCCAGTCCAGTCCTTGTGGCCAGTAAAAGGGGAGTGGGCAAAGGGAAAACTGAAGGTCAGGGAAGAGAAACTCTAGCCCAGCAAAGGAAGCAGGCAGTGAGCTCTCCGTCACTGGGAGCATTCAAGCGCTAGATGGGGACGTGGCAGATACTTTCCTCCCAAGGTCTGGTGCTTTGACTAGAAGATCCTGGTTCCCACCCTTGCTTTCTCATCCCCCAGGACACTGAAAGGGAGCAGATATCAAGAGATGTTCACTGTGTTGCTCAAAGTCACTGGAATCCCCCGAAAACCCCAAGTCAGGGCAGTCCTGTAGCCAGACCATCCAGCCCCACCAAGAAGCCGCTTGTGCCAGCAGAGAGGCTGCAAAATACCTATTCTCAGTGTCCAAGAGGCACCAAGAAAGTACAGATGTGCGCCACCCACTTTCCAGAGTCTAAACTCAGCACCTGTGGCTCACC